ATGCTCGTATTCGGGTTAAGACCTACACCGATGAGCTAACTCCCCTCGACTCGGCTTGTGAAGTTCACAAGGCAGCCAATTGGTATGAGCGTGAGATTTGGGACATGTATGGTGTCTTCTTTGCCAATCATCCAGACTTACGTCGCATCCTTACCGATTACGGATTCGAGGGCCATCCACAACGTCGCGACTTCCCATTGTCCGGCTATGTTGAGTTGCGCTATGATGATGAGAAGAAACGCGTAGTTTGCGAACCCTTGGAGTTGGCACAGGAATTCAGAAAGTTTGATCTATCGGCGCCATGGGAGCAGTTCCCTAACTTCCGTAACGCAAACCCACCAGCCGAGGAGGTGCAGCCAGCTAAGGCTGCCGCTGGTGCTAAGAAGTAAGCGATTCGGTGTGCCGCATCGAAATTGTGAGCCTTGTTTAATGGTAATTATATAGAAAAACTATCAATAAAAATGATATGTAGAAATTGTAAATTTAAAAACAATGATTTATTGATAATCAACGGTACGTCACATAGATTTAACGTTGCGTTCAGGCTCTGGGAGTCTGATTCTAATATGTAGTAAGAAAATAGATAAGGTCAAGTTCTATAAAATACGCTTTTATGCTTCTACCATTTGGAAATAGTTGCCAATTATAATTTTGATTGATCTACAAGTTTACACGCACACATATCAGGAGTGCAAAAATAGATTTTCTTAAATTCTCATGAGCTGGTTACAAAATATTTTCATCGAATTACAACACCAAGAAATAACGCTGTAACGCTTTCGAAATTGAATGAACTTTTTTTCTTATATTGAATTGGTTTAAAGTTGATTTTTAACTTGGTTTAGCTGACATAGGTTGCCTGCTATTGCTGTCGAACTTAAATTTGTACTCTTGTTTATATATTGTCTAAATATATAAGTCGAACTGAACAGCAGCGAAATGTTGACAACATTATTTGATTTAGCGATTCGTTTTCGCATTTGCATTTTCACAAAATACTTTTTACATTCAAATGTGCTTGATTATATTTACGCATATAGAATGCATATTTATGGATTTTCTTAAAAAAACATTTTCTTTTCTTTTTTTTTTTTTACTAATTTTTGTTTTGTTTTTTACAACACAAAGTTCAATTTACCAGGTGAAAAATCGTGCGCCTGCGCAGCGGTGCCTGGCCTTAAAGGCGTCAGGTGTTAGGGGCGTCATCACGCCTTCAATCCTAGTGTTTTTTTAAATATTTTTTTGTATTTATTTGGCGGGAAGTTTTTAAGTTTGTTGCACTTCACACATATGTATATCTGTATGCATATATACTATAGAAGTTGACTTTGATTTATATGTATTTATGTGCTGTAATGTGTCGATTCGAGCTTGATTTGATGCACACATCATTTATCTGCACTGCTGATGTTATTTGTTTTATTTCTCGATTTATATGTATTTTCGTTTCTCCAATTTGTACAAGAATTTACATACAAACACGTCGAATGTATGTACATAACAATATTACATTTACATAGCTCGTTTTACAATTAGTTTTAAAAATGTTTCTTGTGCATTTACAAACATGCGACATGCGACTTGTTCGCATGCCTGCATTTAGGTATGTATCCATGTATGTATGCATGTACATGTACATATGTACACTACATCACTGCGCCCCTCCGAAATGGAGACGCAGATACAAAAACAAATTTTGCTGCGCTTCAATGCGCGTGAACAGTCCGTGTCCAGGTACTTGAATTATCCTGGACAGTGGGACTGTGACAAATAAAAAATTTCGATGCAGGATGAAGAGTGTGCCGCTGGCTTGCCATTTAATTGGCGCTACGGCTGCACTTCCTGGCGACAAACAACAAATTCGACATCGACGACCATTCGTGGAATGGCCCGTCGGGTCTCAAATACAAATATGTAAGCCATTGCATGCGATTCCATGGTGCGGCTTATATCGATTCGGTTTTCGTGTAGAGCCGAGCAGCTGAGCCGCCTGATGATGCAAAGGCTGTTCCTTTGCTGTTGCTGCTACTGCTGGTGTTGGCCTGACTTTCGGCGGCAGCTGCTTCATTCTTGAGCCGCTCGTGGTACTCCTGGAAGCACGGCACGATGCATAAATTCGTTTGACACTCGGGACAGTGGTATTTCGTTTTGCGGCGCAAAATGCGACCATGTCCATCGATGGTATTCCAACAGAAATTGCAGCCCAGCGCCGGGCCAGGACGAATGACGGGACAATGACTAGAACGTGGGTTCTCCAATGTAGTTATTTCGCGTTGGGTCTGAGTGATAAAGTGTACATATCAAAATGAGTTCAAGGTAGATATACGCTAATCTCCTTACCTGTGGAGAAGACACCGAGCGCTGCAGTTCCTCGTTCTTCACGCGTAGCGTGGGCAAATGCTCAAACGAACTACTCGTCGTTGCGGTCTGGTTGGGATGCAGGTGAATGCTGCTGCTACTGCTGCTGCTGCCAGTTGACTTGGATGTGCGTAACTTATTCCCACTGCCATTTGCTGTCTCGACCCGTGCACTACTGCGCTCCACAATATTTGTGATGGGTGAGTGGGGCGAGCGGCGTTCCGGAATGGGCGACTGTTCCGTGCTGCTGCCGTACGTTGGCGAAAACGGCTGGCGATTGCTGTTGCTGTTCAGGCCTGCCGGTGGCGACGTTACCACCGAAACGGGCGTGCCAGTTGAATTAGTGGGCGTGGCTGCGGTCTCACTGGACGAAGCGTTACAAGTGACGACGCGTGCTGGTACCAGGTACTGCGATGAGCCGGCTGGCGGCGGCGAGCCGGAAGCGTAAATTGATTCGGGCAGCGAGATATGATGTGGATGGTGGAGTGGAGCAGGTGGCACATAGCTTGCATTACTTCCAGACAGCGGATGCGAGTATTGACGATGCAATGGCGCAAACGGATTACTGCCCGTAATGCTGCTCGTGCCGGTGGCATGCAGCGAATGCTGACGCGGCAACAGCGGATCCGAATGCTGCTTAATCAGATATGGTGTGCTAGCCGGTACGCTCAGCAGGTGCGGGGTCGGCGATGCCAGACTTGGCGCCGGCTCAGAAGCGTGCCGCTCAATTCGAGGTGGTACGGTCAACAGATGATGATGATGGTGCTGCGGCTGGTGGTGATGGTGAGTCGAGTAGTCCCTGGCTATGGCGGTGGTTGTGCCCGCCGCATTAAACGGATCAAAGTCAAGTGTCGTAGCTGCTGCATCCGGTGAAATCTGATTTGTCGACGTTAGGCTATCGCTGTCCCGCTTAACCCGTGGCTGCCTGGTGAGCACCCTATTCCGCTTGGACCCCATCACAGCCGTCGATTGCGATGTCTGCAGATCTGTTGCAGCATCCGTTTCGCTTGGCGTCCGCTCAAAGCTGCCGCTGCTGCTGCTCGTATTGGTGCCCTGGCTGTGGCTGATCGCCAGCGTGGGATGATGCTGCGTGGCATGCGCCGGACTGGGCTCTGCAAGCAAGACACATGATTTAATGGCAGCCTCAAGAATTTGTTTAGTTAATTAACCGGTCAATGTGTTTTTAAATGAATTATGAATGTCTGACTTTTTTTGTTTTAATTTTATTCGTTTCTTGCACATCGAAGCCTAAAGTCTAAAAGGTTCGTTTGTTAGTTACATTATATCGTACATAATTTCGTAACTTATTTTACAGTCGTTTCATTTACTACCGCTGACTAAAAGTACATTAAATGTAAATAATTAAATATATTTATTTATATTTATATATATATGCATATATAAGTAATATATATATATGTATACATATATAAGTAATATATATGCATATATTTATTTATATGTATACATACATATAACTACATATATGTTAAACATACACATACACAACTACCATAGTTATTGGTACTTTTGCAATTGTAGGAAACAGAGTTAGTCATAATTATTGTTTATGCTATTTTGCGTTGTTGATTTTTTTTTGTATACATATTATTTTTGATGAATTCGTATTTCGTTTGGTTTATTTTTGTTTCTATTATATGTTGTTTGTTGGCTTGTGTAGCACTATGCATCTAGTTGTAGGAATTAAAATGCTTTACCAAAGTTTGACGTTATAAATGACTTCTAACAAATCACGCTTAATTTTTACTTTGCCTCGCGACAATATAAAAAGTTATTCAATAGTTACATACATTATCATTTATATGTATATATATATTATTTGTTTTTTATTAAATTAATTATTTGTTTTTATTATGTATATATATATATTGTATTAAAAACACACTACGCTTATTCGTTTTCCTTTACTTTCTGCAGTCTCCATTTAGGATTTTGGGTGGTTACGAGTTATCTTAGTTTTGTATATTGCGTATATGGCTTGCCCATTTAATCGTATTCGTACATCGAAATTATGTACAATTATGGATTTCAAAATTATTAAACCAAGCATCCCTCGTCAGATATGTCTAATATGTGTGAAATTGCACTCAAAACAAAAAACAAAGTGATCTAATTTAATATATATGTCTATTCAACAGAAACTATTATTGGAATGGTGTGTAAATTGCCAACATTGAAATTATTTTGATAATGTGATTTTTGTGATGAATATGTAAAAACAGTCCCTGATAAAAATTATTGCTTCCACATGGATCATTTGGTTGGTTGATTGGTAAGCTCCGTCCCATAATCGAAAATACAAAATGAATTCGTACATTAACACGTGTAAATATTGGTACGTACGTATATATTATACATTACTGAGTTGGCTTAATTAAATATTTGATGGTTAACTTGCTTTGCGGTTTACTTTATACGGATTTAAACACTGTCCGTCTAATGGCAGACCCACTCCCCATCAACTAGACACATACACCCATTTGAACTAAAAACTGATTAACCATTAACTGTACACAAACATATCAATTATACGAATTAGAATGTATGCGTAATAAAGGTTGCTTTTGTAACACGAGTGCCAGGATTAATGAGGGATTACATCAATGATCAAAATAATGAGGCCATTTTTAAATAATTTATATTTAAAAAGTTGTATGTACATGCTAGCTAGTCGATACATAAATCATTTTTGCTTTTTGATGATTAACACTAATAAAATTGTATAAATTTATGTACAAATATGAATTGTGATTACATATACAAGAGTACTTTACTTCCGATTCCTTAGTTAACAATTGTAAAAATAATGTTCGGCTCGAAACAGTAGCTTAAGGAATTAAGTTCTATAAATAATTATATATCTGTTGTATGTCGGCACATCTGCTTAACTTGAGGGATACTAAATCTTAGTGGGCTATGCTTACATACATTTCCGCTATTTTACCCATCTTCTGCCGATTACGATAACGATTTCGATCCCGATGCCGTATCTTTGTAGTTCACTAGTAGATGCCGTTGCTCTAATACCTGTATAACTTGTACGGCTGTGCCCAGGAGCTTAGGATTTGTCTAAGTATTGCATGCCAGTATTAACCAGTGGCGCTAGCGTACTGGCAACCAGTGGTGGCGGTGGTGGTGCCGCTACTGTTACAAAATTATTGAAAAGAAACGCAGTAGCCGCTGCGCTATGCGCAGTGCCCATTGCTGAGACCGATACGGGCACGGCTGATATGCTCATTGGTTCTGGCTCGTTTGTTGACATAACGGCGGCCGCCTGCAGCATTGTGGCTGGCCCTGGCCCGTGCACCTCGCCACCGCTGAGTTGATCCACCTGCAGAGGCATTACACCTGAGGCGGCGGCCACAACGCCCATGTGACTTGAAATCGTATTCTATATTGAGTTGAAGTTAATACTCTGTAGATTCATGGCGGCGGCCGGATTAACGTTGATCGTGCCCGCTCCGGAGGCAGTGCCTGATGCACCAGCACCCGTTGCATCGATATACCGCTGCCTGGACATTGTGTGCACGCTTGTGGGTGACTCCATGTAGCGTGCATCGAAGAGGCTCATGACGCCGATGGCCGGATGCGTGTTAGTGCCACCGGCCGTAGAGGCCGCTGCCGCGCTGGCATGATGAGGTGTGCACATCAGCGAAGGTGTGGGCGTATCTGCTTGCGGCGGCATCTGCATATTGAGCGCTGCAGTTTGAGCTGCGGCCACGGCAGCTGCTGTTAGATGATCATATGATTCGTTGGGCGTATCGTCGCCAGGATTGGTTGATGGTGTTGGCGAAGGTGAAAGATTGGGCTCCTGTTTGACTACCCGCGCCTTAATGCTGGGCCGTGACACAGGGTAGCCACGTTTCTTGTACTCCAGCCAGAGAGTCCGATTGTTCACTCCATACAGTCGAGCAGCCTTGCAGAAACCAATGCCACCGGTTCGAACTGCTTCCAGGGCCCGAATAAAGTTCTCATCACCTTGTGGGTTCACAGATCGCTTCCGTTTTACCACTTGACTGTTGCCGCCGCCTCCTCCACTGCTGCTATTTCCGCCGCCGCCAGCGCTACTCGCACTTCCACCCGCACTGCTACCACCGCCGCCGCCCACACCAGAATGAACAGGTGACTGCGTGGGTGTTGGCCCCTGACTATACACAGACTGAACCATGTTGGACTCGTTGGGAGACGTGGGTGAAAGGTTTTGCGCTGCAGTTGTATAACCGCTGACCAGATTATTCACGGTTATGATTTGCGACGAATACGCCTGACCGGCCGTGGCCCCTTGTTGTTGCTGCTGCTGCTGATAGTGCAGCTGCTGCAAGTGCTGCTGTTGCTGCTGCTGCGTTGCCTGTTGTTGGGCTTCGTGCTGCTGCTGCTGCTGACGCTGGTCGTTGGTGCCGGCAGCACCGACGCCTGCATTGCTATTCGCGCCGCTGTTTTGATTACCACCGTTGCCGTTGCCAATCAAGTTGGACTGACAGGCGGGCATCGAGAAGCGCGAATAGTTCGAATCAACAACTGTCCACTGCAGACCTGGGAAGGGGAGAGAGAGAGAGAGAGAGACAGCGTAAGATTGGTTTCGTCTTTAGTTGGGGTTTGAAATTGAAATTTACTCGCTATAAATTTACTCTCAACTTGGGGTCGGGGCTCATCATTTGGCCAAGATCAGAGATTGGAAATAGGGGCAAACCATTGGACAACAGGTATATTATAGTTTGTATAGTAGAATGGTATTGGTATCGGTATCGAGTAGTAGAAAGATTGCTAATGCTAAATCATTATCATTCGAAAACCGCTCTTCAAAATGCTTTCCCATAACAAAATATTACGAAGAAAATTCAAAAATCACTTGGCAAACAAAAGAGTTTAGTAATCAAATCGACAAAATTATAAAAAATCAAATCAGTAAAATACAGTTATTTAGTTTTGGACTCTGTGCTAGCTCTCTCCCATTCCCAAGTTCAGGTAGGATTTCATTTTTGAATAGTATACACAATAGTTCATTATATACACATGTACATACAAATGCATTAATTTTTATGTAACACAATTATTTTTATTCGCACTTAATCGGTAAACGGTAGTCTTTATGCTTATATTTCATATTTAGCTTTAGCATTCATTTCTCCAAGCGCTTTAGATCGCACTCAAATTCAAATTGAACGAACGTATTTTTGTGTGTGTATTTGTGTGAGCGTGTTGGTGTCGCTGTGAATGTGTATGTGTATGTGCTGGTATGAATGCATGACATATGAATGAGCGGTAGCAGAGTAACAACAGTTGTCTCTAAAGTTGACCAAATTCGGAAGAATGAAATAATGATAATGATAGCAAAATCAATAGCAAAAACTCAAAACGGAAGGGACCAAGTTGAGCTCCTCGACGCGGCTTATATGAATAGCCTGTTGTCATAAAAAATTACAACCCCTTAATGAAGCATGATCTAGCGTATGATTTTTATATGTTGCAGTGTTTTTTTATCTTAGTGCAGCTGAGCTGTGTACTATTATTATATTTATATAGTATGTCGGACAGAGCCTGTTTAGTTTAGGATAGAAACTTACCCGAGTGCGACGATTGTGAATTGGGGGCCTCGTGTTCCGATGGTGTCGTAGTGCCTGAAATGTCCAGAGGCATCGATTGATTCACATTGCCAATGTCCACTTCGGGCTTCTGCATGTTCAGCAATCAAATATGAAAGAGTAAAAACTTCAGTAAAATGCTTCCAAATGGATATATAGTTAACGTGACCAATTTCATTACAATTTGCATATGTATATGTCCGTGAGCGTCATCCAGATCGGAGTCCTGTGGCTGTTGCTCCAGTTCAGTGCTCGCCGACTCTTTCAACAACTTGGCAGTATGCATCGAGTGACTCGAAAGACCGCCTAGTGCCGCTGTAGAGTTATTGCCCGCTCCACTTCCAAACGACATTTGGCTCATTTGCGCGAGGCTAAGGCCAGCAGCGCTGCCAGCGGCGCTAGCTGCATCCAAGGAGCTGCTATGCTGCTCCTCCGAGTTATTTCTGTCACCAGAGCCTGCAAAATTCCAATAAACAAATCAACGTAAATTAGCATTCCTTAGCTTCTGAAATATTCACATTCTGGCCGACGATTCTTTACCCAACTCACACTCACCGTTATTCGAAGACTTTCGCAAGCGCTTGCGCCGCGTAGCCGGTGAGGTGCCAGCACTTAGCGGTGAAGGGGTTCGTCGCAGCTGATGATGATGCGTTTGTGAACCCTGCGCTTGGCTGGCCTGCTGCTGTTGAGGTTGGTGATGATGATGGTGATGATGATGCTGCTGCTGTTGTTGTTGTTGCTGCTGCTGTTGTTGCTGTTGCTGCTGTTGTTGTTGTTGCTGCTGCTGATGCTGTTGTTGTTGCTGCTGCTGTTGCTGCGCCTGCTGCTGCTGTTGCAGTTGTTGCTGTAGTTGCTGCTGATGATGCTGCTGGAACTGCTGCGCCTCACTGCTGCTCCAAAGCGAATCACCAGCACTACTGCTGCCACTAGCCGCTCCTAAACTAGATGCCGCTACACCAGCATTGGTGCCGACAACATTTGCGCCAGCTTGACCTAGCAGTTCCGTTGCCTCGCTGGACGACTTACTGTCTGACTTCGTGAGGTTTGCCGGGTCTGTTGGCATTTCGGCCAGGCCCTTTATTTTGAGCATCTCGGCTGTTTTAAGTATGTGCGGCAGTTGCTCCTGCGACACATTCACCTCTCCGTAGTACATAAAATCCACCATCGTCTTGAGATCATCGTACTGCACGTCCTTCAGTATGACAATCGGGTGCTGACACGGATTCGTCGTAAATAGCGCCTGTAAATAGTAATGTGATGGATACGTCATATATTTGGTTTTCTTCAAAAATTTAAACACTCACCTGAAAGTACGAACTGCACGCGGACAGCACTATTTTGTGGGCCTGTAGCTGTCGACCCTCCGCGGCAAGCGTGACGTCCACCAGCGTCCCATTATGCAGCAAGGAGGAACAGACGGATATGAAGTTTGGCTGGTGATTGTTCCAGCGCAAGCAGAACTGCTGCACAGACATTGTCAGGGTCAGCGTTGGAGTTGGCGTCTACGCAAGCAACAACACCCGTTAGCGGTGATGTTGCCGCTGCCGCGTACTTTGTCTCGCGGCAGCAACAACAAGTAGTCGAAATACCAGCAAGATATCAGTAATGAATACCAAGACAAGCCAACCAACAATTTCAATTCCAAAAAGCCAAATGACGAAAACACGCTGATAACAAAATTTTTTATCGCCTATTGATTATTGTTGTTCCTACTTTCTGTTCCGCTGTTATTGTTGTTGCCCTTTTTTTCTTGCTTTAATTAAAGTTTATGTACAATATTATTTTTTGGGCGCCTTTAAGTTCCGCTTTTGTTGTTCTCGTCACTGTTTGTTTTTGGATATACATATGCACATGCGTATATATATATATATAAAATTTTACGTTTGGCGGCGGTTTCTATGCCGCACCGTTATACATATACACAGATGCACGCATCTTATGTATCGCTGAAATGGTAATTAATGCGAAATATAAAAATTATAAGTATACGCACACATTTGAATATATATTATTTTATTTATTTGATAAGAGCAGTATTTAGATTTGTTTGGATTATCTATTTCTTTTTCTGCTTAGTTTACTGTCAAGTTATCTCTTTTGCTTACGCGCGCACTCTTTCGCTCTTTCTTTATGTATCACAGGCTGCGCCGTGCTCGCTCTGCCTTCTTACAACAAAAACAGCGTTGGCAACAACAAAATCAGTATATATATATACACATATATGTGTGTATGTAATTATACAGTCGCGAGCAGCACACGCACACACATACACGAAAACATTCTTGCATATACATCATTGACAGATGCTAGGAAATTTAACAGAAAGTCTGTGTACTGTTTTTTGCCTTAAGTTTTATTTTTAATGAAAACGTAACGAAATCTAATACATAGGCTTCATGTCTGATGTGCGCTACACGGAGACCTTGAATTTTCTTTGATTGTTATGACGTAATTAGCGCGTCTGACCCTCTGCCTCTGCCACAGGCACGACCACGACCGACGTCGACTAATCGCTGCTTCGTTTATTCATCGTATTGACATTTTCAGCAGCCTTTATTTAGGTATGTACATACATGCATACATATGTGCATATGTCGCGCGTTTTATTTTTTATTTTTGTTATAGTCGTTTTCCCATCTATATGTTTGCCTGCTTATTTAATTAGCAATCGGCAAAGTTCTATATTTCCCGTGTTTTGGCAGAGGATTTTATTATTTTGCACAAAAGAAAACACGGCGAGAAGTAGAAAGTCCAAAAACAAAATGGCGCGCTTGTAAGAAAAATTTCTAGTTTGCAAAAGCTTTAAAAAGCATGTTTTACACATATATTTTATTGAGAGCTTATGTATTACTCATTTTCACTGTTGACTGTCTACATTGTGCACAATTTTGTTTTCTTTTTTAGCTTGTGTATAAATTAATTATGACAGAAATGCAGTTCTTACGTTTTACTTCTTTATTCTTTTATTGCGATATCAGACCTGACAATCAGGGTTGCTTAGCACAACTGGGAAAAGCATTCAATCTATATATCGATACTATTAAATAAATTGCACGTATCGATGTTTTATTAATCGATATAATTATATGGTTTTAAACTGATAATATATCGAACTTATTATAGTTATATTAATATTTTAAGTTCAAATGGCATTTTAAGTGGTAACTTGTAAATTTGAATTAATAATTATTAATTAATTAATAATTCTAATTTTAAAACTTTTAGCGAGGGAATACCTCTAAGCTGGGAGACACAGAAACCATCGTATAAGCTCAATATCGGTAAATTGTAACTAATTATTGTGACTTTTAGTGTTGGTAACGTTGTATAAATGCCGATAACAATACAAATATAATACCAGTTATTCAAATTTGTAATCTGTTTTGTTAAAATTTTGAGCGACACTTAATGTACTTATATACTGTCTCGGTATAATATTTTCCTAAAATATGTACATCAATATTTATATTCAGTTTAAATATTTAATGAATTTAAGCCTAAACCAAATAGTGTTTGATTAAAAATATTGCGAGCTAAATATGTAGAGTTTATTTGTATAATTGTTGTTTTATGGAAAGGCTTATTTAATGAGAGTACCATTAGTACTTTCTGAATTCGAGACAATAGGCTTAGCTATATATATTCATATGTACGTAATTATGTATACTAAAATCAGAGCCATGCTAAAAAGATTATGCTGTCCAAGCTTAACAAAATAATGATGAATTGTAATTATGAATAGGGCTGCTGCTATTCATGATAGGCGCAGAGCTACGACCTTTGATAAACGGAATAATTATGTATTTTTTTTTCGATACATACATATGACAAAAGCATGAAGTATAGCTGCAATGGAACGCGGTCAGATTCATATGTAAGTCTCAAAAATGAATAATTCCGCATCGTAAAATATTGTTAATATGCATTTCGACGCAGCGGCTCTTGTGTTGTAGGTCATCGATCCAGCGCTAGGTAATATAAAAGACCCGTCTAATTCGTTGCGACATCAGTTCCAACTTCAATAGAGATCCGAGCGGTAACAAAAGTTTTAGCTAAACAAAAATGAGCAGGACCGTAAGTATTTATCCTATTAACGATTCATTTTAAATTGAAAATCAATCATTTTTTAGAGCATTATCCTTGTTGCGCTGTGCCTTGTTGCCAGCTGCAGTGCTGTCGACGAATCGGATGCTGTGATTACCAAATATGGATCACAGATTAATCTGGATGGCAGCTACAGTTACGAATATGGCACCTCAAACAATATCCAGGCCCAGGAGGCAGGCGTGGGAGGCTCCTATGCCGCTGGATCTGTGCAATATACTGCGCCCGATGGGCAGCCCATACAACTGCAGTATACGGCTGATGAGAATGGATATCAGCCCAGAGGCGATCATTTGCCGACGCCGCCACCAATTCCAGTTTACATTTTGAGGGCATTGGAATACATTGAGTCCCATCCCTTCACCAGAGTTCAGCTGAAAAAATAAGACTAAGAGAATTTTGTAGCACACCATGACACCTAGTTTAAGTTAGTAAATCACAAATATAATGCTAAAATTTTATCGTTAAATTTAAAAAACAGATAGTTTAGATGCGATATATATATACATATAGCTAACTTCGTTGAAGGTGCTTCCATGCTGCCTTGGAATTTTTTCGTTTCGAAAGAGTTTGATGTAAGTTGAGCTGCTTCTTCCACTTAAGCGAGCGGTTCGTTTTGAACTTAATCAAATGTGAAACAACTTGAATTTGTGCATCTACAACAAATATATATTTAGTTTTTTGCCAGCATCAACAGCATAAGCATCAGCATCAGCATCAGCATCGGCCGTAGTATTGGGCAGTTTACCTTTCAGCCGCTTACCAGTTTTTGATGTTAATGAGATTCAATCGCCAGCGTGTTATACTTATTTAGTGTGAGCTTCGCCCCTACATTAGCGTGTCTAGTAAACTTTGCTGTTTATCACTCAAATTGAGTTCAACACAGTCTTTAAATGAGTTTGGAATCATTTCAGATTGAAGTGAAGCAAAGTTGAGGTATAGCCAAATATGCATATATCTGTTTATAGCTCATGGCATTTTCTTAAATAGACATTTAATTTTTACGAATTACGATTGATGCTTCAATGTCGTAGAAGTCTAGGGAGAAGCTTGGCAGGCTGGAAAGGCGTTTCTTTTGTTTTAAAATTGGACTTGAGTTGAATAACGCTGTTAATCGGATTGTCCAGTTATATAACGGTACTATTGCACAGATTTTCCTTTACATATTGTGAAAATTGTATACAATTTTCTAAGTCCTCCCGACCCAAACCGTTCCGATGAGGTTATTTTTCAATCTACCCTTTGTTATTTCAATTAATATTATGTGTTATTAGCGTTTGAAGTTGAAAAATAAAATATTCATTGTATATCGACTTTTGCTAATTGTGCATTGGATTATTTAATGAACAATTCAACAATATATAATTAACAATCTCGTGCCTCAAGTTAATAAAAGATTTCTGGAGCTCTTCCTTTTGTTTTAATCAGTTTGAACTATGATTAACAAATCATATATACAAACTTGTATATATATCTATATGCTGTATAGATTATTTTTAAGAGTTCTAATTTTCGATATTATTTCAGAGTAATAATTATATTTAGTTTGCGTTCACATTCTTTTATTTAAAAACACATGAGAGCACAATAAAATCTTTTTCAGATTGATGTTATTCTGAATTATTTGGGTGAGTTTAACCATTAACCAAAAAGTGGTCTCTTTGTAGGCTGCTCATATTGTGGGTGGGTACGGATGTATTCCAATGCCCTCAAAATAGCATCTGGAATTGGTGGTGCGACGGGCAAATGCGAGCCCTGTGGCTGGTAACCATTCTCGTCAGCAATGTATGAGAGCTGCACTAGTTCCCCGTTGGGCGCAGTGTATGAGTTTGAGCCGCTGGCAACCTGACCACCCACTCCTTGCTCCTGACCAGAGATTCCATTGGAGGTCTCATATGAGTAGCTGTAGCTGCCATCAGGGTTTATGTCGCTTCTGCTATTTCCGACTGCGTAGGACTCGTCACTCACTGCATAGGCGCAGGCAATCAAAGCCGAGGCAACAAGGAGCTGAAACGCCAATAGGGAAGTAGTTATATATTCACGTATCCTGAGGTTCGATGTTAGGCACTTACGAAGCGGAACATCTTTGCAGGTGGTGTCTGCCGTTAGGTGGTGGACTAAATGATGCGTTATTAGTAGAGTGCCAGCCAATTTATACTAAAAAACCGATGTCGGACTCGATATTCTCATAAACTTGATTGCTTATGCTCGGCGATGTTCAGGAAATTAATCTAAATGACAATAACAATAAAAGCAACCAATAGCCCCAGTTGGCCAAAACCGGAGAATGTCTGTGCGCATCAGCATTAGCAGCTGCTGCTGCCGCTGCCTCTGACGCAGTCGTCCGATGTGAGTGGGCTTACGCTCACCGGCCTGTTGAGCAGAGCCATGCAGCGTAGTGTCAATGCCAAGCCAGTCCCTGGCTCACACACACAGCCGAAGGGGAGCGAAGCGGGGTGCCCACCCGGCACACCCAAAAATGTATTTCAAGAAATTCATGTATGGCAGCATGTATGTGTGTATCGCTATAAAAATTTCGCATAATTTATGGTTCCACTGCTACAGTTTGTCTAGCTTGGTCTCACTATTTTTTTTTACTACTCATTTCAATTTTCATCCGTCCGGTTTTTCGATCAGAAATAGTTAACACATTTTGTGAGAAGAGGCGCTAAATATGCGCGCTTAACAAATTGGATTATAAAATTCAGATACGTTAATGATCAAGATCTGACTTCAAAACAGGATTTACTTCTCTCCAAGTCTCAGTTGGTATTGGTATGGAAACACTAATAACTAAACTCAAATATAGCCAGCGCGCTGCAGCGGTGGCAACATCATGGATATGCTCAGACGTCAGATTTTATATGTAGACTTACTGCCATATATTGAAATTTGGCTAAAATGAGTATTGTTTTTTCAAATATCAATCGTAGTAGAGATTCGTATGTGTTCACATATACGAATTATGTCCGGTTATACGAATTATGTCATGCATAAAAAAGAATAAGAAAACTGTCTCTAGCTAAGAACTATTTTTATTTGCAATATGTTGAAATTATCATGGAAATTCAATGAATTTTACGAGCCGTGTTTTGGCAACTAATAAATGTATTCGGAGGATGCCCAAGCTGCAACATTTAATTAGCAAATATGTATATTTATAGTACAGTAAGGAAGCACATGCATATGTATATGGACATTCGCATGAGTTATATATAGAGAAGATATTGTGTGGGTTATGTTATGTAATGTATGTATTTTTTCAGCAACTCAAAGATAAGCTCGAACAACGTTCACTTTCTATGCGAACATCATAAGAATAAACAATTAAGAAAATACTATATAATATATGTTGTGGATTCATCACTTAGAAGCGCACATGAGCCTGTCGCTGCTCCTTTGGCGGATGGGTGCGAATGTATTCCAGGGATCTCAGAATGGCAGCTGGAATGGGCGGGGGTGTGGGCAGATGAGCTCCTTGCGGATGGAAACCATTCTCATCAGCAGTATAGGTCAGTTGGATCAGCTCGCCGTTGGGATCGTAGTACGCCGATGAGCCGCTCGCATATTGGCCACCCACGCCCTGCTCCTGTTGGGCTATGCCATTGGAGGTCTGGTAGCGATACTCATAGCTGCCATCCTCCCTTTGGTCGCTTTTGAGCTCACGTATTTCGGCGGCGGCATCAAAGGAATCCGGACGGGCCTGGGCAACGGCTAAGAGGGCTACGGTCAGGATGAACTAAACCAAGAGAAGATTGCCTATTACAATAGCTATTTCAATTGCGAAGGGATCTAATAAACTCACGATTTTCATGTTGGTCTCTGTGCTGGTTGTCACTGTACAGACGATGTGAGAATGAATGCTGCTGTACTGAAGTACCAGTCCATTTATAGTCGCTTTGCCAATTACCTGGCAAGCCCAAGCGGCGACAAGTTTTATGGATTTTAGCATTGAACCTGAACTGCTGGAACTTCATACATATGTACATACATACATATATTGCCATACTCATTGTCGGCCCTGCTGCGAGCTCACACATTCACATTCAGAGACAGACAAGCTCGTGCATGTTGCTCAATTTTAGGAAGCACGCTCATAAATTTGTATAAGTCGTCAGCTCATGTGGCCTTTGTTTCAATTTCTGCTGGTTAGCCATGTTCTTCTGCTTTGATGGTGCGACAAATCTAATATTTGTTGTTTAATTTTCACACTTTTTGTAAATTTCTTCTTATTTTTTATTATTATTTTAAAATAGTTTAAAGGACTTATTTTAAGGCAATATCCAAATGAAAGCCCAATAAATCATAACAGAAAGAAACTAAAAAAGTTTATTATAAATGATATGAACTACTTGAAAAGTCGATTAAATATCAGCGCATTCATTTATTATAAAATCACAAAAAACGCTCCCCAAAAGCCAAAGGCTCTTAACACAGCCAGGAACGACCTTGCCACAGCATGTGCTGACTTTTTGCGTCTTTGATTTCTGTTTTGCTTTATTTTGCGAATACAACAGGGATGGGAACGTCGAAGGTACATATCTTTCGATGATATTGCTCTGGCTGCAATGGCGTTTCGTGACTCACGAACGTTCAGTCACGTGTACATAGACCGTACAGCCACTAACCAGAGTGGTACAGCATAGTTAGTCTAATTAGCTGATTTCTAATAAATAATTTGAGCATTGCTGGTTTCCGTCTATATTAGCACATATTATAAAAATTACTTAAGGCAATTGAATAGTTAATTAGGCAGGTAATAATATCAAAATGAGCTCCGCAGACCACAGTGGGTTAAATCTGATAGCACTTGCCAATATTGGCGTGACTCAGTGGTGCACCACTATCGCAAACGGGCCAAGCAAAAGCAAAGCAGAGAAGTAGGCACCAGCTACATGCTGTTCCATTTATAAGATTTGTGAATGCTTTTTATAAATACTCGTATTCGTGCATGGGCGAGAGGTAGACGCAGAGCGTGAACTGCGTTCGACTTAAGGGCAACATAATCTTCTTTCTTTATACGTTTACATTTTTTTCTTTCGCCGTTTTGTTTCTTCGCCTGCTGTCGGAACCGGCTGCTGGACGGCCGACTTGGACGGGTGCCGTCTGCCGCTTGGCTGAGCTTAAATGAAAGAGAAACTTGTTACGATTCTCAGGCACTTCCTTGCGCCGTTCGATGCCGCCTAAGTGGCTTCCGCTGGACCCGGACCGGATCGGGTCAGCTGGACCCATCAGCAATCCGTCGTTGGGCGCATTAAACTCATATGAAGAGCGCCACTTGATGTACATTCAACAGGCCAAGTCCTCTAAAAATAATTGACCTAAATATTGCGGCTGCGACAAGTCTGCCTCAAGGTCAGGGCTAGAGCATATCAAGCTTTCGCATTGCTTTTCATAAAATACCCAATCCCGTATACTTGTCCCTATTTGGTCGCACATCGAGTTGATGATGATGAGCATCATAAAAGTCTAAATTCGTATTATGGCTCGTCATTTGAATATTTATTCAAGTTTTGTATTTTCACGTTTTACTTGAATGCTCCACATTTGATCAGCTGTTGGATTAATTAAAATATCATTTATGTATATTCATTAGCTCAGTCCCATTGTCGGCATTCAGTTGTCAAGCAACTTATCTTTGCTTTGGCTTATATAATAGTAGCGGCGATAGCTTTCATTGGGGCATATGGCCCAGTAGCCCAATCACAATGTCAACAACTTTCAAAAAAAAAAAAAGAGGAACGAGAAAAGAGAATAAGTTATTCTAGCCGTAACCTTGGACTCTTTATTTATTAAAGCTTTTGGCACTAATTATTACTACTTTATGTTGTTTTTTATTGCTATTTGCAAATCCAACAAGTCATTTTTTCATTTTCGTCTTTTCGTTTTAATAGCTGATTTTTTTTTTCAGTACGTCTAATTTAATCAATGGGGATATAAGTTTTTGAATAACGGTAAACATATGTTAGTGATTGATTGGGTTGAGTCGAGTCGACAGGCTGTAAAACTACGATTGACATACATAATAATAGTGAGGGTCGAGCGTAATTATTTAACTTTAAGCTGCTGTTACACAATTGCAGTAAGCGAATCTCAAAGTGAAGGAAACCTCGCCTCTGGCCTGGTCTGAGCCGCTGTTGACTTAAAGCAACCAACCAATAGTACGTTTGGAAGCCAAATTCTAGGTTCCCCTTTGGGAGACACTCTGATCTCTGAATGATCTAGGTTTTAATATACTCAGTGTTTATTAAATCAGAAAGTCATTTACAAGTTTTAGTTACCATCAGGAGAAAAAACTAACCTTTAAATTCATTGATCAACTTTTGTTAAATTTTTAATTTTAAAACACTTAAATTATACTCAATTAAAGTATTCAGCATGATGTTATTAACCACATAACGATTTACAACATGAAACACATAGTTCCATGTCCGGCGGACTAGCAGAAGTTCCCGGATGAGCGAAGTATTGGGGTTGGTCTTCAACCTCTTCGACAATGTATATAATCTTGATCAGTTCGCCCTCTGGGGAATAGGAATAGTAACCACCAATGACCCGCTTGCCACCAACTCCCCGTTCCTGCGTAGAGATTCCATTGAAGGTACGATATATATCAAAGTAGCTACCATTAGGTTTGGGATTGCTGTAACCATCTCCGGTTGCGAGGGCATCATCCAATGGTCTGGCATACGCACAGGCAATCAAAGCCAACACAATAAGCAGCTGATCATTATACATATAATGGTTATGGCAATAGATCCAGGGATTCGTTCTTAGGCACTTACCAATCGAAGCATCTGATGTCTGTCTAGGTGGTGTCTTTCTGAAGGTGGACTACTGAATGTACCATCCTGGACTATTGGCAGCTAATTTATACTAAAAATACGATGCCTGATTCGATATTCTAATAAACCTGATTACTTCAGAACGCCTTGTATATTGATATATTAATTTATTTAAGCAATCATAATAGAAAGAGCTGTTCTCGAAAGCGATTCTATTGACTTGCAAAATAAAAGTAAAAATGATTATATTTACCTAGTGCTAGAAGAATATGAATATGAATAAGAAATAAAAATCGTCGGTGAGACCGAAAATGAAATAAAATGCCAAAATAAGCTATTCTAATGTTAATGAATTCATTTAATGTTCAAAGCAATAAAATATCTGAGCTAATCAAAAGCTAATGCCAACGTCAAATGTAGTTACATTCGCGATGCAAGCGGTACGGAACTATCGGCTCAGATCAGGTTTCGCTCTGTATCATTCGCATTAGTATCACAACAAATTGAAGAGGTAATTGAATAGAGCAAAGCTCATCTCAAAATTTAAGGTTGAGTCAGAGCTGCAAATTGGGCAACATCTGTATTCGCTGTGCTTTCGCCTAGAGTGTCGAGATTTACATATGAGTGTGAGTTGAGCAGAGCTAAAGCAACTGTAATTAATGAATTAACACCAACACTTAATTATTTTAATAGCCGCAGCGAAGCGCAGAGCGTGTACCTGCCGAGTTTTTTGAACCCCGGGCGTCGTTTTGCCTAATCGCAGTTCAAGTCATGAAGTGTATGCGTGCGTATGTGTGTGTGTGTGTGTGTGTGTGTGTGTGCCCGGCAGCTGAGTGTTGCGTATAATTCAAGAGTTTCAATATTAATTTCGATTTTGGTTTCATTTTCGTTCGGCCAAGCGAGAGCAAAAGTGAATGAAAATGATTGTTGATTAGTTTAAGCCCATAGCGCCATGGAGCGCTGTGATAATTGGAAATGCAGAAGCTCTTGGCTGGGATATGGATGAGCTGTTGATGGCCCTTAGCCTCATAATTCCATAATCATTATCAACGGTTAATGGTTGCACACGCACACATAGATAGACCTTTCCCCACTTTCGTTGTGCTGCGGTAAAAGTTGAGGGTATATAAAACTCAGCTCATGCCATAGTCAGACATCAAACATAGTTAAGCTCTTAGGCTTTAAACAACAATAAACTAAGAAACCCCCATAGAACTCCAAGCCCGGCAAAAATGTTCAAAATCGTAAGTTGATCGACCTGAAGGATTGCCGAGTGGATAACAGTGTCAATAACGTCTGCGTTTCCTTTGCCATTTGCAGCAGCTCGTCGTACTTGTTGCAGCCGTCTTTGTGGGCGCCGTGCAGTCTGCGCCATCGGATTCGGCCGATGCGCACGCTGAGATTCGCAGCTATGTGAATGAGCTGAAGCAGGATGACAACAGCTACAAGTATCAGTTCGAGACGAGCAACGGCATCGCGCAGCAGGAGCAGGGTGTGGGAGGATATTATGCCAGCGGCTCATCGCAGTACTATACACCGGAGGGCCAACTGATCCAATTGACGTATACGGCTGATGAGAATGGATTCCAACCGCAGGGCGAACATCTGCCCACTCCCCATCCCATTCCGGAGGCCATTATCAAGTCACTGGAATGGAATCGCGACCATCCAGAGGAGGACAACGAGGGACAATACAATCAGGGCCATGGCGGCAATGGCTATGGCGAGCAGGCCAATCAATTCCTGCAGGCGCCGGCATCTGGTCTGCCATACGAGAAGAAGATTTAAATTACTTCACTGCACAGCCACTGCAGCAGAAGCAGCCGCAGTGGCAGCATAGGGGGGACCTTTGCCCCCCCGCGTTAGCTTGTTCGTTCATCTTGTAGTTTAAGTCCAGCCAACTCCGCCTTCAGTCGCCCGCTTCAGCCTGTGTGCCCATTGATGTTCGTGTTTTTGCATATGCTTATTGCATGGCCGAGCCAACAAACATGAGCAAACAATCAGCGACAACAGCATTGGCTCAGCATAGTTGACTCCGGTGAAGCTGAGGCTGAGGCTGGAGCCAGGGGATGCCAATGCCAACGCCAACGCATACTGCTCATACATATACGCACTGTACATACATATATACATTCATATATATCTATATCACTCACACCCACACACACACACACACACACACATTCAGTTGCCCGCTCCTGGGCGCTGTGTCCTTTGTCGGCTCGCTGACGTTGACATTTATTGCCAGAGATAATAATAATGTAATAAAAAGAAAAAATATACAATTTAATATTGTTGTTTATACTATGTACAAATGGCGTAGCTCTTAGCCAACTACCTCGGCATACCGTGGCCATATGGCTGCCAGCACTACAGACCCACTACAGCAGCAGCAGCAGCGGCAGCAGCGGCAGCGGCAGCAGCAGCGGCAGCAGCAGCGGCAGCAGCTGGTGGTATCATAAATCCTCCGTTTACAAGGGGCTTTAACTTTGGGTGTGTTTCCAGCGACCCATCTGCATTTGTATCAGTTTTGGTCAAATGAAATTAAGCATTAATAAATTCGTTAGCCATTGGTATTGTTTATTATTGTTGTTGTTGCTGTTGTTGCTGTAGCTGTGCTTATGCTAATTAGCCTTTGAAGCTACATTTGAGTGGATTGAAGCATTTCGATTAATGTTGCAACATTTACCTTGCAACTGCGGCTCGTTCGCCTCGACGTTTTAATTAACATACTTATTTATGTGTGGCTGTTGTTGTCTCTTGTGGATTTTGCAGTGTTTGGACCAACATTTGATGCGCTACGTTCGAGATTTGGGTCGACAGCAACAAAAGATGAGTGTAGCGGTACTTTGAATTTCTGAAGCAACGCGAAGATGGCAAAAAGTACATGAAATTAATAAAAGAAAACAAGATTTTTTAAATTATAATTGTGCGACTACAACCTAATCCTAACTGAAATGAAGATGTATGCTAACAGAGCTTAAGATAGCGTATTATCTAGTCGATGCATGCTACTAGGTATATCTTCAAAGTGGGTTACTCGAAATGATCAATTTGCATATTAAGCGTTTATTATTGGTATTGAAATCTGAATATCTTCGCATACTATATATAGTTGAGGGCATGGACGCAGAGCTCACATCACAACTGACGTCCAAAGACTGCACCAGCAACGCAATGTACAAGCTGGTAAGTAGCCAGATCCATTGGAATGCATTGGAATATCCGTGTGAGTCCAGATTTTGCTTGCCAATAGATCCTACTCGCTGCACTTTTGGCCTGCGCCGCCGCCGCACCGCGTTCAGGAGATGAGGCTCAGATTATTAAATTCGACATACAGGCCGACACGGATGGTTCCTTCAGCCATACCCATGAGACGAGCGATGGCTCGATATTCTCGGAGCAAGGCGTCGGCTCACAATATTCAAAGGGATTTTTTGCTTGGGTGTCACCCGAGGGTGTTCCAGTTCAGGTGAGCTATGTGGCCGATGAAAATGGCTACCAGCCCCAGTCAGATCTGCTGCCCACTCCACCGCCCATCCCCGACCACATTCTGAGGTCGATTCAATACATCCAGCAGCATCCCACGCCCGAAGAGTTGGCCGATCGGGAAGTGCGCGCACGCCAATTATAAGCAAGTCGTCTTTGCCCCTACTAAATAAGTCTAAGATGTACAAATAAACTATTGCATATAATCGTGAAGTTTAGTGAGACTAATTAAAGTGTTTTCTTGCTAATTCATTGCCATTTGGACAAAGCTTAATTGCTGTGCTAATAACAGACGACAAATCAGACAGAACAGCTCATAGACAAAGCCCAGCCTTGTGCGTTGCTAACAAAGAGCATTCCAGCACAGTGAAACCTGGCTATTGTGCTCAAGTTTAGCTATCAGAGTCAGACTCTATTGTACTTAATGTGCGAGCACTTGCATCAAATTGCCGAGAATCTGAGCTAAACTTGAGGTTCAGTTTGGCTGCCAGCTTTAGTAGCTGTTTGAGAAAATTGAAATTCATTAAGAACTCGAGAGGAAACTGCGCACACGCGAGGACATACACACACACACACACACACACACACACACACACACACACACAGACAATGCACGCAACGAGTTGTGGCAATGGGAATACGTTAGCAGGCTCCCCATATCAATTAGGCGCGCTCTGTGGCGGATATGAGTAGTTAATTAAAAAGATTAAGGCGCATGAGGAAATTAAGTATGTGCGAGCATGTCATATTATACATGTACATATATGTATATAGTATAGGTGTGGATGTTCTTTACAATTTGTATAAACACTCCTGAATACATTACATATACATACATATATATTTACATGCGAGCTGTAATTAATTCAAACATTGGCTTGATTTTCTTTTACTTTTTTCATAAATGTTTTTATCGCTTGCCCACTTTTATGCAAATGTCTGTCCAGAGCGCCGGAAACGAGAGGTAAACACAATCGCTCTTTGAATGATTCGAACGCCCCCTGCCGCCCCCAGCTCCAGCCCAACACAGGTGCTCGCGCTTGAGTGCTGATGCTGCCGTTTGTCGTTTCTCTCTTGTCGTTTGTCGCTTGTCGTTTGACTCCCTGACAAAACAAAGTTTGCTGTGTAATCAAAAACTTCTATTTCACATTTTATTATTTTATTTTCAACTTGATGATAAATGTTTTGAGGAAATGTGGGCCCTATCTGCACGACAAAGGCATTCCTAATTTCCAATGCTGGGCTGTGCGAGAGAATTTGTGATCCATATCGCTAGGACAGGATATGAATACATTTCAAAATAGACATGCTGCGCTCGGTTGACGTCCGTTGTTATTTTAACATGCGCATGTATTCATAATTTTCATTTTTTATGGATATTTTTATTTATTTATTTATGCATTATTCTAATATAGTTCCATTTATGTTTTTATTTATCAACAGCTGTCGAAATAAACATGTTTTTTTTTCTTCCATTTTGGTACGGTTCATCTAAACTAAATTTTAAGCCGGTTTCTGCATAGAGTTTTATTTATATTAAGCGTGCATCAATAATGACTTAAGAACAGCAGTTGACAAACAAAGCCATAATCAAACAGAAAGCTACGAGTGCTACGAATGCTGAACAGAAATTTGATATAAATAGAAAAGAGCCAACGAAATCGAAAGTCCCCACAAAAGCCACCAAAGGCAATCAGGTTTGGGCAATAAAATAAATTAATTGAGATGGCTTCGCTGGATGAGACGCAGGTATATTGAATGCTCAACAATATGTGTATTATACTGTTAACCTTAACAGTTGCAGCTTTTTATGGAGGCATCCATGGTCGGCATCAAGCGCATAAAATTCCAACATTTAGCACCAGCAACAGAGCCGCAGTTGAACAATGAGACAGTAGTCACTGAGCCGGGGAGCCGGGTAGCCGGGGAGCTGGGGAGCTGTGTGGCTGAGTTAAGCCTTTAGGGGGCGCTATTGTAATGCAAACAGATCTCTTGCGCTCTCTGAAGTGGCCACCATTTCTGTTTGCCAACATGGTGTATGGAAGCCCAAATGTTCATGTTTGAAAAAAAAATTGCTTTGTTTTGTCACTGTTCGCTCGATTCCGGTGTGGTGGTCGGTCTGGTTACGGGTTAGGGCTAATAGCACGTGTCACGTAGCCTGAAAAATATGCGAGTGAGTGCCCGAAAATAATGCGGCACACAAACACTACTCGGAAGTGGATAGAAAAAATGGTAGGCAAAGCACAAGCATTTCAATTAAGCTAAAAGTGGGCCTGAGAGGCGAGGTGGACGAGGACGGAGACGTCAATGACAAGCTAAAGGGTTGTAGAGCAGATGGGTGTTTTCCATTTTATTTCTTCCTCTTTATGACTCGGCCACTCGAGCCGTACGTAATCTTTAGCATTTCGTTTGAAATGAAATTTTGGAAACGCTTTAAGTAGCTGGACATAAGGCTTGAATGGGAAAACTGTTTGTGACGTTCAGCCCCATCACATTTCATTTGGGATGCAATTTTTCTCGTTGCTGAGTCGAGAAATGCGCTGGCTATATTAATAACAATAGCTGATGCCACAGCGGCTGGAGGCGGTGACAGCCAATGCAGTGCAAGGGCGATCAAATGAAAAATAATCTCCAGCAATAATTGCTATAGAAAAGTTTTTGGCTAGCCCAGAGCCCAGCCAAACCGAGGCGGGCAGTACGATAGCTGTCCCTGTCGACAGTAAAAGTAGCAGCGCAGACAAACGAAACCAATTTATTTTAAAAGTAAAAATCAATAGCCAAGAACCAACAGTCGAAGGCTCACTCTCCGAACGACTCACCATTAAAAAGTTGAGTTGTAGTGGTCCGACACCACCAAAAAAGTGTAAGCCGACAGCCACATGTGAGTGGGACGGACGGATGCGAAGTGAAGATGCCGCTTAGTCGACACCTGCCCATGCCAGCGGTGCGATGAAGAGTCATTGCGTTGCTTTGTTGTCCGCAGCCATCGGGCGCGCCATTACATTTAACAACTCAACAATGTAGTAGCTTGATGCTACCAAATGCATTTGACATGCCATGAAATCCAATAACTGACTCTGGCATATACACATAGTGTTTGCTGCTCTGGCAATCGGCTATCCCCTATGTAGTTACTGTTATTTGTTTCATTTAGTCAGCGGCGAGCGCTTACTGAATGGCATCTACTATTTGATTGCTCGCCTTCGCTGATGTTAAATGATATATGAGAGCAAGTGCATTCTGCTGGGGACATGCTATATACCTTTAGGTGAACACAACAGCTGCTATGCTATGCGATGCTGTAATAAAAGTTGCTCCAAAATTGAGCAATATTTTTCTTTGTTGTTACCGGCGCATTTTCATATTTAATGCACAATGGACTACACACACACACGCACATACATACGTACACAGACACACACATACGTATATGATAAAACTTTTTGAGCATATCCATTGACTTCGTAGCTAGCATTTAACAGCCACTTAACAGTCGCTGTTAGGCATAACAGCATGCAGGATACGCGCCTTTTAACGGCGCTCAGTTCGTGTTCGTTGGCTGCTCGTGACAGGCGTTTAGTCGCATCGTCGGCATTTCGTTCGTCCACGTCCGGAGCCACGTCCTTTGTGTACGTAAATATTTATGTTTGATAAGCTCATGTGCGTCCTGTTTGGCTATCTGTATCATTTTGTATATTTTTTGTGCTTTTGCGCGTGTGTGTGTGTGTGTGTGTGTGTGTGTATGTCGAAGTGTGAGTGTGTGTGAAACTACATTAAAAAGTTCACACACAAATTGCATTATATCCAAGCTGCGATATATTGGCGCGCTTTGTGTACGTGTTGCTTTTGTTGTTGTTGTTGTTGCTGCTGCTGGTGGCAACTCAAAATGGTTTGGGGCCAGGCCACAGAGAACATAAAGTATGTACATATATGAGCGTTATAGATGCCTGTGGGTGTGCACACATTTTTTACTTACTTTAAATAAGTTGAAGACATTTTTCGCTATTGTACAATTCGCTTGGTGGGCTCAGGGATATGTGTACGTCGATATACATATATGCTATATGACTGGCTGCTTGCATGGGATGTCCAAATATGAGATACCCTAAACCGCTAATAATCTACATCTTTACAATAAATAAAAATAATGGTTTTAATAAACCTTTATACCTTCACTTTCCAATTATTTAATTTCCAATTTACAATAAAACACTTTGATTGGCGTTATTTGTAAACAATTAATATTTAACCTGTAGCACACTTCAGAGTTGGAGGACCTATATGTTTATGTGGGCTTTCTGTGGTGGGTCGGTATGTGGGTGGTTCTGTAGGTAGTGTAGGTGTAGGTTTGATATTGCTGGTAATATTTCCGGTTGCACGGGCTTTATCCAATGGTCTGGCATACGCACAGGCGATCAGAGCCAACACAATAAGCAGCTGATGATTATACATATAATGGTTATGGCAATAGATCCAGGGATTCGTTCTTAGGCACTTACCAATCGAAACATCTGATGTCTGTCTAGGTGGTTTCTGTCTGAAGGTGGTCGACTGAGTGTACCATCCTGGAGTATTGGAAGCTAATTTATACTAAAAATGCGATGCCTGGTTCCATATTCTAATAACCCTGACTGCTTCGGGGCGTGTTGTATGTGAATGTTGTGCAAAACCCATTTCTGCAGCGATAATAGAAAAACCTGCTCTCGAGAAAGACTCTATTGACGTTATAATACAAATTTATATGCACTTTTTTAATTTTAGGCATTCAACAAAACTAGTCGTACGAAATAGAAAATGAACATTGCAAATTTGAGAAAACTATTTCATAACAAGCCAAAGAACTCTATTAGAGCAGAATTTGAATGAAAATTCTTGACAGTTTTGGTTAGCCTTTGTGGGAGCAGCTCAGGTCGATTGGAAGGTCGCCTTTGGGAGCCTTAACACCTGGCTTGGCCCGAGGAGACGGCAAATTAGTTGAAAGCACGGTGATTTACAGCAAGTTTAGACGCATTAAGGCATTATCCCCGGGCCACATCCTGATGCTGATGCTGATGCTGATGCCAATGTTGATGGCAATGCTGAAGCCACAGCCCAAGTTGGGCTGCGATGCCATATTGGTAATGTGATTTTTGGAGCACTTTTGTTCACGCCCGACGACACATGTTGTGGTTCACACACACACACACACACACACTTGAACGCGCACATAAACTTGAGGGTCTACCATGCCCGTGGGCGGTATTTACATGTCCCGACCCCGTTCGGACTGAAACGCTTAGCTTGGCTGCCAAGTTTGTGCTGCAACTTTCCTGTCGAGAAATTTACAGGGTGGGTATGTGTGTGTGTGTCGGTACATGTGACTCTATTTAAATGCCCCCCACTAATAATGTCCTTAAATTATACAGCTGGACACCTAACTTGTGTGGCCCCAAGCCAATTTAATCGATATGTATATGGGGAGACGCCAGCAGTTAGTCGACGCTGGGACAGACGTAGTTATGTGTAAATATTTGATTGGCCCTCGAGCTAGCTAGCCGTGACTTGCCTGCCATTCCCGACACGCTTGATCTGAGGCTCAGTCAGTCACAATCTGGGACTTTGGGCCTTTTCACTGCACTGCCATTACGATGATGGCGGGCGTGCCGGCTCAGTTCCGGCCAGCACGGCTAGCCCCATTAAATCTAAGCGCCTCCAATCCATCTGAATCAGCACCAGCACAAGCGCGGAAATCTGCTGGTCAAGTACCGTTGCGGCGACAATTAATTAAAACTAATTGAGTTTTGGCCCCAGCACTGACCGACCGTACCGCTGTCCAACTCAGCGACTGACTGACTGACTAATTGGCTGCAAGTGGGCAGCTTGAGGTTGAGCTTCGGCTGCTTTTGCAATAAATTGTCATTTCATTAGTTTCCATTACGCGTCGAGCTACCCACGCAGCGGCGGGCGGTGCGTTATTAATGGAATAGGCGCCTGTTTACCTGCTGCCGTGTTGTCTCTTTCTCCTCTTGATAATTTTCACTTTTATTGGCTTTTAATTAATGCGAAATTGTTTCAGATTATGAATACTCATCGGCATCTCTGGCGAGGCAATTAATTCGATTGCAAAACGTTTAACGGGCTCTGCATGCTAATGAGATCTTTGCAGCCAACAGGCAACTTAGCTAGCGTGCTGATGCTGATGCTGCTGCTGCTGAGATATTGCAGTGTCACACGCTCAGCTCCAATAGAACGAACGTCAGTCAGTCAGTCAGTCAGTCATGCCTGGGGGTGGCTGTAGCGCCTGCTGCTTTGTGTTCGGGCTGCTTTCTCATTTCAATTGTCAAGTGATGCTATCAAGTCGAGCTTGTTGCCTGTCTTTTATCCCTGATATTGGCTTGTATGCACGGCAATTGTCTGCTCTACAGGTATTTGCTGCTGCCTGTGTGTGTGTGTGTGTCTCTGTGTGTGTGTGTGTGTGTGTGTATACCATGGCAAAGGCTATTCAACACGCTCTCGCAGCAAACAGTTGCATTCATCAGTTACCGTGTTCAGTTCATTGACTGACTTTGTATCTCAACCACATTTGTGTATCCTCGAACAATGCACATCGTGTTAGTCTCTGTGTGTGTGTGTGTGTGTGTTGTCTAGCGAATTCCACTATATAAATATTGACACTGTTCAAAGACATACACAAACACACACACACGCATACACGCATACACTGTCGCCCCTCATCACTCACTCGCTCACTGGTATGGACGGTTATTGGTTATTGATATGAAATCTGATTATCTTTTGCTTTCTCCGCTTTTATGCAAGTTATTTGCAAGTGCAGCCAACTGTGGCAGCTGAAAGCAGAAACTCCAATATCCTGATCCGCACTTAAACCAACTCACAAATGAAGGGCTTGGCATATGTGCCATATGGATCTCTATCAAAATCAAATCCTTCTAATGCCTATTTGTAATCAAATCGTACCAATGTCTTTTGTTTGATCTCAGAGATTATAGCATCTAAGAGTTGTGCATAATTACTATGAATTAAAAGTCACATAAGGAGTCTCTAATGTCGTATATAATGCTCAATACATCAAGTCCTTCTGTGGGCAAAGCTCATTCTGTTGACACGAGCATCTGCTTATTGGGGTAGCGATTTGAGCTTGGCTTACACACATCCAGCCGTTAGGGCTTGTCAGTTATCTGGCAACCTGCAAGCCATTAATGTCAAGAGCGCAGTCTGGGATTTGCGGCATTTGAGTGAAGCCGCAGCGGCGACCACAGACCGTGGGCGGCAGTCAAAGGCCGCCACGACATTTAAGCCCACCCGAGGAGCCCTATACAGTCATTGGCTTTTGGTTATTATGTAGATGCTTTATTTTCATAATTGTCAACATCTTAGCATTTCGTTAAAGAGCCCTCTCGGGGTCTTAGCCTTGTCAGCGAGCACGTCGCTAGGATGGCATGAGCCCGGGCAGTTGTGGTGGCAGCAAATGATTTGATAATCATACGAAATGATTTTAAAATCGACAGCTTATTTGCCAGAGATGCCAAAGACATGCGAATGCCTGACTTGGTCCCTATCTCGTAGCATTTCCTAATTGTGTGTACATACGGGTCGGTGTGTTGCTGGATATTTTTATGACTGCTAGCTAGAGAGAGAGAGAGATAGAGAGAATACGACTTGACTTTTGTTTTGTTTGCTTAACTTCATGTCAAGTTAAGCACTGAGGACAACAGCTCGAACTCGAACTTGAACTGGAACTCAAACTCAAACTCGCACTGTTAACCCTGCTGTTAGTTAACAGAAGTTAGCAGTCGCTCTCACTGTTGGGCGGTGCGCATGCGCGAAATCTTCGTCAATTGAATTTCATAGCAATTTCCGTGCGATGGCTGCAATACGTTTCAGATAAGGGTTCGTCGGCTTCTGGTTAGGACACTTCATGCCGTTCACGGCAATTTAAATCTGAATTGACGGCGTACTTAAAGCCGTGCTCGGTGCGTATTACGCGAAAGCAAAACAAACTTTGAGCCGGCCAGCAGTACAGTGACTCGGCGTGCGTTTAGCCTAAATGCCGATGACTCCCAAATATGACTTGGCTAGCGTTATGTATTAGTGTGCGTATGTATGTGTAGTGTGCGTGTTGTATTGTGTTTGTGCATTTGTGCGATACGCATAATGTATTAAGTGTCAGCCGTAGAAGAAATACACATTATAATTGCACAGGACAAGCAATTTGGATGATGTCCAGCACAGGTGAGCCGCAATTTGTGCTTCACATAATGGAATACATTGTTATCGACAGATAGGCAGCATTATTCCCATCGCCCTGATGTGACAACGCCTAATGCAATTTGGGACTATTTTATTTTATTTATTATTTGATTTGTTGGCCGCCTTTGGCTGCCGACACTGGTCAGCACCATCAGCACCATCAGCACCATCAGCACCATCAGCTCCCTTGCTACCAGCATTTAGCTTATTTTTATTTTATTTTATACTGTTTTTGTATTTTGTTCTGTTTGTTTTTTTTTTTTATCCTTGTATGTGTCGTGACCAGCCCTCGTCCACTTGGCCTATAAAAACCCCAAGCATTGGGTTACCCACTTAAACACTCAATATTTTATGGCCCAACTCTTGAGTGCAGAACACTGTGGCTTTTGTCTCTTACATTTCGCTCACTTTTATAGTTGAACTTTAATCGAGGCACTTGGACTTCCAGCAGCGACCACTGCGACCCTCCCTCCATTCGTGTAACTTGCCCCCAAGTAAAAACTGAAGTTGGAGCCAAAAAAGCAAGTTTGTCAATGTTAAAAGCCCGTAATATTTAACTGATTAAGTTGCTAAAAAAAGCGAAAAGTAAGAGAAAATAAAGCTTGCTCTGCGAAATCAGTGGAAAAAACAAACACACGACTGCACAGCAGAGCTAAAAGGGAAACTCGTACGCTTTTGAACGAGTATGTAAATATGTGTTCAAGTATTAGACGCGTTCTGTGCCCTGCACACACTCTGCTTATCTAAATTGTTTTATGTCACAGTTCCCCACTTGTTGGGGGCCAGACCATTAAGCAACATCCACTCATACACACTCCACACACACACACATCCACACACATGCATACACATACATATATTATAGATAATTTTTCAATGTCATTTGAAAGCATCAAAAATGTGACATTAGCCATTAATAAATTAGCAAGCATTTTGAGTTTCTGTCTGCTAATTGAATATGAGCGAGGGCAGAGCTTTTGATGTTCCGCCTCTGATATTTCATCACCACAAATCAAATGCCACCCACCCGCGCAAATCCGCATCATAGAGACAGCCAAATATCAACGGTAGCAGCTGTGCCATCGACCGATGTAATTTTATACGTAGCTTAACCTTTAACGCCATCGCAATCCTTTGTTTCCACCTACGGCTCTCCTTTTCGCCGCCTTTTCACCGCCTTTCACACATCTTTTAGCGACTTTGTAGGGACTCTGCTTTCATAGAAATCCGCCTACTGCCAGGGCGTGTGCTGTCTTTAAAAAAAGAAAGATGAAAATAAAATAAATGAAAAAGGAATAAAAATCTTTTTCAGCATTTCACAAAATGTTTGGCTCCATTGTGGAGACTTCTTTGCAGCTGTTGCTGTTTTATGCCCTGTACTGAAAATTTAAATGCGTCGCTCCCGCATTGATATGAGCAATTGCTCATAATAAATCATCTTTTGCCATGAGCTGCTGTTGTGGGAAAGCAAATTGAAAGAATTTTATAAGGGGGGGACTGTAAATATTTTATCATTTGAGATTGATTTTAATTTGAATAGAAGCTCTTCCAACCCAAAAACCATAGCAGCCTTCAGCCCTCCGCTGGTAGAGGGTGGCATCTAGTCGATCATTACGAAAGCGCCGTCCTCTCATTCTGCTCATTGTTTTGCTGCCTGTTGTGATTTGTTGACATGTGTTGCCGCCGTTAACCATTTGATTTTTCGCACACCCACTCAGCGAGCAACAACTGCAAGTTTGTCATGTGCGAAGTGTGTGTGTGTGTGTGAGTGAGTGTCAGTCAATCGGTTTGTGTGTCTGTTTGTACATTGTTATGAATCTTTGCTGTGATTCCAATGATTATTGTATTGTATCGTATTGTGCTCATATTTGTAAGCTAAGCCCAAGGTAAGGCTTTAAAGTGCCAGCCGGCTCAGTGGGACCCCTGTGGTTCGGTGGCTCGGTGGCCGCAAAGTGGCTTTTCTAATACAGGGACAGCATGTCCTGTCGCGCTTTAAGACGCACGCAGGAATGTTTATGTTTCCCCTGGCCTGACCCAAAATAACTGTAAAAAACACGAGCAAGTCAAGAATGAGGGAATAAAGAGCGAAAATACTTGGCAATTCGAAGGGGACTCAGAGAGCCGTTCCTATTTTCGTCTTTGGTTAAAGGAAATCAGCTTAAACTGTTAACTAACTCAATAATTACTGTAGTTTATTCTCAAATTTACAGCTTATACAAAAGGTTTTTGGCTAAAGTAAAAGCCAAGCTTATTAGCCAGAAACGTTAAACTAATAACATAATTCTTAGAAAATAATACGCTGCTCTCCGCGCCGTCTTTCATGAAGGTTAGCAACAGTTGCACAAAATATACCGCGAAGTAAATTATCGCATCATAATATTCACCCTGACTGTGGTGCGGGAGCAATTAGTGTAATTACAAAATAAAACTACTTTTTGCCAAGACAAAAGCCATACAGAGAGCAGAGCTCTGCGGTGCTTGATGCTAGTTTCTTTTATTTTTATACCCTGAACCCATTGAAAATGGGAAATCAGGGTATAATGG